AATGGCATTTAAAAATCCTTTGGGTTTTGTTCTTTTTCTTTTAAAGTGGATTGAAGATAGTCAGAATGCTTCAGAAGAATGTGACTTCCCTTGTGCATGGGAATGCTGCCTTTGGTACAGGTTTGGTCATAGTGACGGCTTTGGACTTTTGTTGCTTTAGTCCCATACGACAAATGTCATAAATTTGTTGTAAAGACTTAGTCTCCAGGCCTGCTATAAACTAAAATTATTAAAGTCTGAAAGCATTTAGGGTTTGGAGGTGGGGTTGGTAAAAACATTTACAGAATTAGGATGCCTTTATTCTTGGTGTAGGAGCGTGTTGTGTCATTCTGGGTTCACTGTTTGACTGGTAGATGTCAGCTGTAAATTAAATTACAATAGTCTTTTGTAAGATGCTTAGTGGGTACATTTAATTAGAAGCAAATATATACCTGACTCTAGACAGAGATAAGAAAGAAAAGATAGTATGTCCTACTTTTGAGTGCAAAATACCAAGAAATAAAAAATTTTGTTCAGTGTAAAACTGGAACACTAGAGTGACAAGTAAGGGAATATATGTGTTTTTCTCAGGAGCAGAAAAAAATAGAAGCTTTAAAGGTAATGCATCTTTTTCCAGAAGCTAAGGTGAAAGAGCGGTAATGACTACAGTCTCTTTGTACTTGGAATCATTGGCAGAAGACACCTTCAAGTTTCCTGCTTTTAATATACTCTTCTGTTATATTTTAACAGAAAATATTTGGAAAATAAGAGTATTTTTGTCCTCCACTGAACCACTTCAGTTACCGACTTCTTTGCAAATGTGATGCATACAGTGTGGGGTGTTTTCTCAGTAAATGTACAGATAATGACTCTCTTCCCTGCGAGAAGAAAATTGGGAGGCTGGTGTTCATAGTGTACCCTATACTTGAAGAAGTAGTAGAGCTGTGTGTCAATTCCTTATGCTTTCAGTCCAGGAGGGAGGGATGGCAATCTCCACTGTTCAGTGTGAGCTTGTGTACATGGGAACGCATGTGCACCCACGCAGTTAAGAAAAAAGGTGGTGGGAAGACATGCTTGTGTAAATGGTACTTGTGCGGCCCTGCTTTGAGCAGGCTTTTGGTCCAGATGACCTCCAGAGTTCTCTCCATCCTAAGTTGGTTTTTTTTTTTTTTTTTTTGATTCTGAATAAAATATCCATAAGAATTGAGCTACTTAATTCCAGTTCTGAGAAACCTGGGTACAGATAATTAGTTTCTACATCAGAAGAACCTGGAAAAACTGTCTTCAGTAATGTTTGTGCTGCGTTTTTGTGATGGCTAATGAGCATGTGTTTGTATATATACATAAAATATATGGGTATACTCTTTAATTTTGTTTATGATCCTAGAGACAGGCAGTGACCCAGTTTGCTCAGAAATGATACCATTACCGTGGTAGAAGATCAGTAGAACCCTGTTTAATGGCACTGCTTATAATAAAAACAATAGCTTAATAATTAACATAATAATAAATCATAGAAAGTAACTTTAAGGGATTCTTTATAATGAAACTATTTGCCATTAGTGTATTTTTCTGATTATTCAAAAGAGCAGAACTGGAAGAGATGGTTGGACTGCTAATTTACCAAATGCTGTCTCAGTTTGAAATCTGCTGAGGCTGAAAAGGATGATCATAAATGAGCACGTAGCAATGAGACTTGTGTAAAATCAGCTGGCATTCTTGCCACTATGGTGACATAGAGCCCCACAGGTACTGAGTGCTAAAAGGGTGCTAAGAAATAGCCACAGACCTAAGTAAGGATTTCAGTTGGCATCTCATGGCCATCTCAGCACCGGTAGTCAGCCTGGAAGTAGGATCTCTGTGTTGTTCCCCCATATCATTCCTCAAACTGGGTGCACTATATTTGTTCCCCATAAATAAACAGAAAGTTTTCATCAACAGCACTTGCACTGTAAAACTTCTTTTCACAAAAGCTACATTCAAGCAAAACTGTAGCATGAATTATGTTTGAGCATTCATTTTCTTCCCTGTACTCTATTAGGCAAGCAGTGGTTAAAGGCTCCCTTCCACATCCTTTTGCTTTGACGTTGTTTGGGGACACGTTGTACTGGACTGACTGGAACACGCATTCGATCTTGGCCTGCAGCAAGTACTCCGGGGAGGACCTGCGTGAAATACATTCCAACATCTTCTCTCCCATGGATATCCATGCTTTCAGCCAAAAGAGGCAGCCAAATGGTAAGCTCTCTTGCTTTCTTTAACTGTAAGTTGGAACTGATTTGCAAAAATCTTAATTAGTCTTTCTGTATAGCAGTGGGTGGCTTCACTGGCATCATGATGCTTTTTTTTCCAATCCAGAGATTGGGAAAAGACCCAAAGAGAAACCAAATATTTTCTACATTGGTTTTTTTTTTTAAGTGCAAGAAATCCACCTCTTGCTTTTTTTCTGCCTGCCACATTTATCTTGTTGTCACACTCCTTTTTCTGTTTCATGTGCCATAACTTTAGGCAACATGGTATTTTTATTTTCTCCAAGTAGTAGTTCCTGAATGGAAAGTAGTGTTAATTTGGCAGATGATATTAAGCAAGACTAGCTCTGCTTAATAACCCCTGTCTTAACCATTGTGTTAATTTACTGTGTTTGCATTTTTGTTTTATATATACAACCTACTGTACATTCAGCACCAATATGCTGAATAGGTTGTGAAAATGAGAAGGGCAGAGCTGAAACAAGGCTCTTGTTTAGGGCTGAGTGCTGCTTCCCCAAGGAAGGAAACATTCAACATCCATGCGTTTTGGTACCATAAATACCTCACTACTCAACACTTGGAATTAAGTTTTCCTTGTTCTGTGTTTATCATTTCCTTCTTTAATCTGTGTTGCTGCCACCGATTCTACCACTTAAACACCGTATGTGTCTTAACACATGAGATGAGGTCATTCATTACCAAAAGCATTAATCTGTGTGATTTATGTTTAACAGCTACAAACCCATGTGGAATTAATAATGGTGGCTGCTCCCACTTGTGTTTGATGTCTCCTACCAAGCCCTCTTATCAGTGTGCGTGTCCCACTGGTGTGAAACTTCTTGAGAATGGAAAGACCTGCAAAGATGGTAGGCTTTGTTTTTAAAAATCCTTTCAGATTAAGCACAAAGTAGTTTCTGGAGGGAAAGTGGTTCTTGCAGCTTCACTATGTAGTGCTTATATCGGGGGTGGCAAATTGTGAAATCATGCATGCTTTTGCAGTACAGATAAAAGTTATTGGAAGATGTCCTCTACTTTTCAAAAAAGTAAGAGGCTCATGGCTGAAGAGCAGGTTAACTCCAGTTATAAAATTTAGATTGCAGTTCTGTCTCTGTCACTAATTCCCTACAGGTTTTTGGGGCCCTCTGTTGTTCCCTTTTCTTAGAGAAAATGATACCTACCTCTTCTGTTGTCTCTAAGATGTTTCTAACATGATTTTTCATGAATTAATATTTGGCTAATAGGGTTGTACCATGAAAAAAAAATATTATTTTTTTTTAAGATCTGATGTGTATTTATTATACACACATACACCTGGAATCTCTTTCAATTCACACACATAAAGTTAGGTACCTGCATCTGTATATAGAAACTGAAAAGAATGTCGTGGTTTTTAGAGGTGTTGAAAGTGTTTCAGCCTTAAAACCCAAGACGAGATTGAGACTTAGGGCTGTTAGCACTCACCCCAAACTGCTTTTAGTGTCTCATTGTGGGCTAATGTATATGCTCTTAAGTTGTTATATTTTGTAAGTGTAAGTCTTGTGACATTGTGCTGTGGTTGCTGCAGTACATGAACAGGACCAAAATAGACACTAGGAGATAATTAGCTTGCTCATAAGTAAACGTCTTTTATGCAGATCGTCTATGAGAAAGGTAAATGGAGGAAGAAACAGAAAGATACCACAGAATTTACTGTGAATAGGCTAAATAGAATGTATACAGAAATAATTGTTGTTAAATTGTCATTTTAAATTTTAAAAATTCTTCTAGTCTTGTCAGCTGCTGTTCAGTGTTTTCTTTAATTTCTTGTTATTTCATAGAATCATTGAATGCTCTCTGCTGATTATTTTTGTGTGGCTATTTGTGTATATGTGAACCTTGTTAAAATGAATTGCTGCTTTTATGTGAAAAACTCAAAAGCAGCACCCAAATTAGCCTTGCAGGGTTGTTTGTAAGAACTTACCAATACATGCCCAAGATGTCTGTCTTCCATTTCATTCAAGGAACGAGCTTTAACAATGCTGCTCTGGGTTGGTCAGATTTAGTCAGAACGGACACAAATTCACGTGCTTTTTAAAAACACTTTATACACACGGATAAACTCCTTTGTGGCAACACATAGGTGAAGCAGCTGTTACCCAACACAGGCATGTTTCCAAAAGCAGAGCTGCACAAAAAGTCCATGTGAGGGATGGGGAGTGGTGAAGGTTTGATCACTTGCCAAGCAGAGGTAGAAAGGCAAGGCAGGAGAGGCTGAAGTATTAAGGACAACAGTTGGAACAAGCTCTGAAGAAATCAAGAGACAGAAGGTGCTTGCTTTTGACTTACTGCTGATAGGTAAAGGACCAGGGACTTCAAGCAAGAGCGACTGTATCTTTTTGCTGCCCGCCTGCTGTGTTCCAAGGAACACGTGGTTGTGTCACAGAAGCGCCTGCTTCCCTGCCCGGGTTCAGCCCTGTGTCCTTGCGCAGGCAACCTACCACACAAGTTAACTGCCCTGTGCTGAATGGCACCTTTCTGTTGTATCAAAGTAAATTACCAAAGGCAAGTAGATGAATGGTATTGAAAAACAAAGCCTTATTGAAAGGGCTTTAACTTCTCATACAGGGATACTCAAAATAATCTATTCACTTTTTAAACCATTCCTTGTGTCTCAGAATTCATAGCTGTTGCTCTTTTCTCTCACTCCCCGAACACATGAGAAGCCAAATTGTATGTTCCCAGTCAGCCATAAAGTATACTTGGCTCACAAAAGCTCCCATTTTATCAGAAATTTTGTTAACCAATTTACTACAGCGTGTTGTCCATCTGTATGCAAAAAAAAAACTTTATACAAGAACATTTATTTATCTGATGCTTGCCAATATAATGCTGCATTTTTAACCACCATTCTGCTCTTGCATCTTTCCAAAACCTTCTGCTCCACTCTTTTCAAGAAGAAAAATGGGGGAGTGGGAGGAGGAATTGAGTTTATTTAGCTTAGTGAGTGAATGCTGCTTAGACTTAGAAACAAGGTAGCACATAACCCAAGTGAAACAACCTACTCAAACTATGCATCAGATCCACTGGTTTCACTTAACTTCGATGATCCCATGCAGAGCTAACTTCTGGGAGGAGCATGAGGAAGCTTCAGTTTCAGCATTTAGAGCAGAGCTTACCACAAAATAATGAAATATTTTTGATTGTTTTTTCACTCCTCTCACTGAAAAGAGGTGTAGGTGGTGGGCTTAGGGCTTTTGTGAGTGACCTACAGCTTTCCGGAGCTCTTCAAGGCAGAGATTCACTGGAGTTTCTTCTCGTAGTTGCCAAGGTTGCAATTACTGATTCAGGGAAGGAGCAGAACATAGCAGTCGAACAGAGCCAGACTAGCTGCAGACCAGATTTTGAGATTTAAATCTGTACATGTTTGTGTGTTGACTTCCTTTCTTAGGCTGCTCAGGGACCCTGGGGAAGTAAATTTATTTTCTCTTTTTCAGATGTGTGGGGTGGGGGGATGGTTGTGGTTTCTTGGGTTGTTTTTTTTCCCTTTGTACTTGCCTGTTTACTATATCTGCTGTGAAAATAGAGCTGAGCCCTGAGAACTGAACATTTTTACCTTGGATTGCTTCGGTATATGTCTATTATGCCACAATAGACTGAAACACCAAGTGATTAAATCTCCATTTGCAATTAGAACATGTATATGACCTTTGAGAAAGGAAGGAGGGGGAATGACTTACAGTTGAAGAAAGGTGAAAAATCAGGCTAAGACTTTCTCTTCTTTAAGACTAGTCTTCCAGCAGTAGACTGAAATCAGACTGGTTCCTAAACCGAATTGTTTCATGCTGAAAGGAACCTCTTTGAGGAGAGAACTTAATTTCATTCTGTGCTGATAAGAGCACCAGCCTGGACTGGAAAGATTTTGACGGAGTGAATTTTGAGTGCATGTTTGTGGTGTTTGCAGTGCTTTGGCATTGACAGATGATCCTTGCAGCCAAAGGTGAGGCTGGCTGACCCTCCCTGAGCAGTTTCCATGACAACGTAGCATTTTTGAATAATCTTGGTTTATAGGAAATCTTTTGCTCCCCCCTTTCTCCCAGTGTTAGTTTCTCTGGTTTTTGTAGGTTTTTTTCATCACAGCTTAGAGGAGTTTTACCGTTTCTTGTAAGAGCTATGAATATAGTACACCTACCCCTCACCGTGCTTCTTCCCCCCTCGCCC